ACAATTTACAAATCAAAACGTACAATTTCCCATTAAACTACTACCGGTATATTAAGTTGCAACTCATATTTGCACATAACTGACACCACAAACCCATTATATCATACCATATATACCACGAGAACTGTATGATTGATATATTCCTCGTGTGTCCAGTGATACATAAGGGACAAGTGATGACTAATTACTACCGACTCATCAATAAGACGGGTGGCTATACATGGCTGCAGACGTGCGCCACATTGATATCGACCAACACGTCGACGAGTAAGGGGGCGGCCAGTAGTAGCACACCGACGCCCACCTCCTCGGCGGCCACCAGTGGCGACGATCACGAACAGAGCATTATATGTGTTAATTATGTCTTAAGGTATGCCATCAAACCATGAGTTGCCACGAAAAACACATTTCTTATGATTGCATTCATGTCCGGAAGTGCTGTCGAGTTCAACGACGTGGTGATGGACACGAGTCAACTGAACGGCGGTTCGGTGCCCAACACCCCCACCCCACCCGTCATCCACCACTCGATCGTCAATAAACGACAGGCGAATCACTCGATCAAAAGGTCGCTGTCGTCGACGCCGTCGCCGCCCGACGTCTCCGGAGGCGGCGCCCCATTGAGTCACTCGACGCCCGACCCGCACAACAACAACACCACTCACTCCCAGCAACAACACGTGTCTCACGTTAGTCACGGCCCGCCGGCCCCACCGGTCCCCACAGGACCGCCACTATTACCGCAGGCGCCCACAGCGGCTACGGCACCAGTAGTGGCCGTCACGCAAGCGAACGGTTCGCCGGGATCTCCGGCCGACGCCATCGCCAGCGATAGTGCCAAACGGCGACGCTTTAACTCTAGTCCAGTGCGGCCCTGGAAGTCGCCCTCACCTCCCCCTCCACCCAACGTGTGTCAGCAGGTGGTGGTGGGCGCCGGCGTCGGTTTAGGGGGCCAGGAGTCGGCCAACTCGGCCTCCAGTCTGTTACGGCACATAAGTGTGATAAGAGAGACGCCCCCCATATTGAAGCCCCAGGTGGTGGCGCCGGCCTATCACCCGGCCCACCACGCGCACCATTACCACCATCTAGTAGATCCCTATGCGGCCGCCTATCATCTGTATAAGAATGGCAGCGGAGGGCCACCGATGACCGCACAGCCCACCCCTGCCGTGCCCTCGACGGCCGCCCACCATCACTGGGGGGCTTATAATTGACGGCATGTTTTTTGGGGTACTTTTTATTGTATAATAATTTAATTGACAAACTTTTGACGCGAGTGTCAAAAGTGTTTTTTGTTTTTCCATCCCTTTCCCCTTAACATGAAGTTTTTCACACCACCATTCAGACAATATGTTTTTGACAGCACTTTAAGTACTGCTAATTATTTTGGATTAGGATTACAAAACAAGTTGATTATGATTGCAAACAACAGAATAGTGATTGACTTAAATTGTGTGAATTACCAAATGTCTGTATAATAATAAAAATACAATCAACATACATTACTGATAATACACTTACATGCTATGCAAACATATAATTAAATTCATTAATTTAGAGATTTTAAAGAATGTATGATTTGTTTTGTAAAAGTTTTTGTTGAATTTTGTTTGTTTCCACTCTCTTTACGAGACTTAATGTATATTAAAATTAATTTGAGTTTTATTATGAATTCTCTTGTAATGAATACACATTTCCAATCAAATGACAAACGGATTTGAGTTTTTAAACTAAAGTCATAAAAAGTATTTCAAATGTAATAAATATATATAAGTTTTTAATTAGCAGTCAATTGAAAAGCAAGAAATTAAGAGTTTTTAATATAAGAAAAATAATTTGTTTATAAATTATAATATAAATTATACTCACAATTGATTTCTACTTAATTGTTATGTAATAATCATTGAAAAGCATACACACATACAAAAAAAATGATTGACTCAATAAATCTCATATAAATAAATCTCAATTCCCAAATCAAATCTCATATATAATTATAATTATTATTAAAAATTATGGACAAAAAAAAGTATTATAATTGCTTTAATTCCCCCGAAATTCCGGTGTATCTCTTGTTTTATACCATAAAAAAGTTGAAACAAAAAAGTTTTTTGTTTTACATATTGTTTTTCATATTATTATTTTGTGTGTGAAGCACTTGTATTTTTTGATTTAGTTATTATTATGAATTATATATAAAATATAAAAAACAAATTAAATTTTATTCCGTGTTGAGAGCAAAAGTTTTTAAAAATAAATTAAGTAATAATAATAAAAATTGAGAATTTTGTTTACAAAAATCATTTGTCTATTCATTTATTGCCAGTTTATATATTTAAATAACTTTTTTCCGACAGAATTCACTCATAATTCCTGAATATTATCATACAATTCACGCAAATTCTGTACAGAATCTCAATGTAAATGAATTCAAGCGATTCATTGACACTCAGTCGACATCTATTGCCCACAAATGCTAACCAATGGCAGACACCTAACGCACGTCACCCGCCAATCGCTGCCGGCATTGAGCCCATAAGCCACGCCTATATTAGTCATAATCCCTCCCCTCATAGCAATGAATGTCTCATTTTATTGTGTATTTTTCGCACAAACATTATGTCATGAATTGGTTGTGAAAACGCGTTTCAATCGCATAAACAAACCATACATACATTCATTGCGTTATAATTTAATTGTAATTTAAACTCAATTGTAAAATACATTTACTTTTTGCTCGTATTTCGCGTAACGCTTAGTGTGTTTCAGGCAAACAAATGTCTCGTTTATGATAAGCACACGTGACGTACAAAACAATTAGTCAATTGACTCACACTATCGACTGTCACTTGTATCGAGTGATTTGGTGGACACAGACCTCATGAGTGACGAAGACATGAGTGGCGGCGGCAGTGGTTTCGTGTCCAACACGTGGTCGCCGTCGTCGGGCTCGTCGTCGCCCAAGACATCGACAGCCAATCACCACCGGAACCATAGGGGCGATGGCGATGGGCAGACAGGTGGTGGCGGACAGCCGTCCAGTAGGTCTCACTCCGTGTCGCGGAAGGGTCTACACATCGACTCATCGGTTCTCATGTGTCAAAACGGATGCGGTTTTTATGGTAACCGCGAGTGGAGTGGCTTTTGCAGCCTCTGCTACAAACAGATCCGACACAAACAGACCCCAACCCAAGACAAGCCGTCGCTCATATCGCCCATCAATAAGTGGATATCGCCGGAGATGCTGTCCTTACGGTCCACTCCCCGGTCATCCAAGTCGTCGTCCGCCACGTCGTCGCAGACCTCTTCGGCCAACAGTTCCGCTCACTCGACGCCTGCGTTCACGAAGTTTGAGGAGAAGAAGAGGCAACAGTCGGACAAAAAGAGCAAAACTCTGAAATCCATATTCAAGAGAGCGGCCACTTTTCGCGAGACGAAGTCCAACAGTTCCAGCGCCTCATCCACGCCCACGTCGACCACCGGGTCGTCGGCCACTCAGGCGCTCCAGTCGTGGACCGATCGCCAGCTGTTCTCATTCGACACGCTATCGCTCGGCGAGGAAGTGGTGGCGAAGTTCCTCAGAGAAGCGGCCATTCATGACATCAAGAGACAGATCAACAAAGTGGTCGATAAGATGACGAAAGTGCAGCACAAGGCCACCATCGAGGAGATGTCGGAAACCATTCACGACTTCTATCAGATGATGAGCGCCCGGTTCAACGCCAGTCCCTTCTATCGTGAGGCGAGTAGCGAACAGTTGGAACAGTTGGTCGACTTCACGGAACGGTATCTCATGCAACAGTTGTACCAAATGCTGTTCACACGCATCCAACACGAGGAGGAGGACAAGGACCTGGCGCTGCAGAAGCTGATCCGGTCGCTGAACTGGGTGATGGCGCAGCACCTGGACGTGGACATAAACCTCCGGCACCCGGAGGTGAAGGACTTAGTGGACAAAGCGATCACCGAAGTGATCGAAATGGACTCAAAACAGGTGCCGCTCGAGAAGTTAGAGTGTATAGTGAACTGCAGTAAAACGATATTCAAATTACTACAAGTGAATAGTCAGGAGCCGGTGTCGGCCGACCAGTTCCTGCCGGCGCTGGTGTTCGTTGTGATCAAAGCCAACCCACCGCTGCTCCAGTCCAACATCAAACTCATCACGAGGTTCAGTACGCCGTCGCGGCTCATGTCGGGTGAGGCGGGCTATTACTTCACGAACCTGTGCTGCGCGACGGCCTTCATCGAGAACATCAGCGGCGAGTCGTTGAGTATGACGACAGAGGAGTTCCAGAGTTACGTGTCGGGCGAGGCTCAGCCGCCCGGCGCCTACCAGCAGTCGACGTTCCTGTGCGAGGCCTTCCGTATGATGGCCTCCGAACAGGCGATGCTCGCCGACCTCAAGGACAGGCAGACGAAGTTCGAGACACAGCTCAGCGAACTTGCGGACAGTATTCACGGTTTCCGAGACGATATGGTGAAGAAGACGCAGAGGGTTCTGAAGCCTCTGCAGCCGACGGTGTATTCGGTGGCCACGGATGTAGACATCAAATACATTCCCACAGCGTTTAGGGAACGGATTCTCCTGCAGAGGACACAAACCGAAGGAATTCTCGTCGATTTGAGTAGTAATGATACCAACGATGACAGCAGTAGTGGTGGTGTTGTGGCGGCGCCTGTAGTCGACGGCGACCACGAGATGAGTGCCGCCAACAGTGGAACTGAGGCTCAATTAGACGCCGAAGACGAGTCACCGCCAGAACCGCATTTACCGCCACCGCTGGCGCCGGAAATACTACAGAAGCCGTGAGGAACTACCGGCGCTGACGACTCGGTTGTCATTAAATTATAGTCAAAATGTGTTATTATTTGTTAAATTTTGTTACGCTTTTGGTCTCGTGAGTGATGTGCGAACTGTTAAATGACTTCTCATACGATACTAACCCATCGGATTCGGCGGTGCGATCACCGCCTAACTGATCCCAAAATGTGGTTTAAATTGGATTCGCACACAAAAACCACTGTTGAGACCGGAAAAGCGATTGAATTTAATTTAAAAACGTGTTTTGCGATCAAATTGTTTCGTTTTTTTTCACAATTGATTTTTTAGTCTTAAAAAGTGGATTATATTTAAATGAATTCATTATTTTTTATTTTTAAAGATTTAAATCAATATATATTTTATTCGTTGTGTTATTTATTAGCGAAAAGCAGTGCTCATCAGATGTATGACTGATTCGCACATAAATTAATGGACAATACAAACAAAAGTTTACTTAAAAACCCGATTTACAGTATAATTCAAACACTTCTTAAGACATTCATCGCTAATAAGCATATAATCTAATCAATGGATCGCTTAATAACTCCTTCCGAAAAGCGTGAAGTACTTCGGCTTCGCTTTACAGTTGGGATGAATGCATACCATGTCTTGAGTGAGTTCTTGGGGCTGTTCCAGAGGAATGCACAGCGATTTGGCGCCCATCAGTGGTCCGGAGGCATCCGACACGTCCTCTTTGGCGGAGTCCCTCTTAATCTGGTCCTCGCAGTCGGTACCGCCACAGAAGGGCGACATTATTATGAACTTCTCGTCCAATTTGGCTAAAAACTGCTGCCAATCGCGGGTCACAATGAGATGCGAATCCCGTTCCCCTTTGGCCTTCTCGTAGAGGTTGTCGTGAATTTGATCCAATAGTGTCTTACAGTCTCCCGCGGCGTTCGCCAACTTATGGGTGCTTTTGGCGCCGGTGTCTCGCCTGACAGCCACGAACTCTCCCTTTTGCATGTCTTTGGGGCCGAACTCGACGCGAACGGGCACTCCCTTCAGCTCCCAGTGGTTGAACTTCCAGCCGGGCGAGTAGTGGTCGCTGAGGTCGCACCGCACGCGCATACCGGCCCCTCGTAGCTGTAGCTCCAACTGTCGGCACCCGTCCATTAGTTTCTGTTTGTCAGCGTCGGTAGTCGTGGCGGTTATACCGCACGGAACGATCACCACCTGTAGTTTGGCCACACGCGGCGGTAGTACCAGTCCCTTGTCGTCGCCGTGAATCATGACCACCGCGCCTATGGAACGGGTGGACAGACCCCACGAGTTCTGGTAGGCGTACCTCTTCTGACCGACTTCTTGCGGGTCTTCGAACACTATATCAAACATTTTGCTGAAGTTCTGGCCCAAGAAGTGGGAAGTGGCGCCTTGAATGCCCCGTCCATTGGTGCCCACGTAGGCCTCGCAGGTGGTGGTCATGTCGCCGCCCGCGAACTTCTCCTTCTCGGTCTTACGGCCTTTGATGACCGGTATGGCCAACAGGTACTCATACACCTGAGCGTAAAAGTCGAGTATTTGGTAGACCTCTTCGAGCGCCTCCTCTTTGGAGGCGAAGGCCGAGTGGCCCTCTTGCCAGAGGAACTCGCGGGTCCTCAGGAAGGGGGTGGGCGTCTTGAACTCCCAGCGCACGACAGAGCACCACTGGTTGAGCCGAATGGGCAGATCCCGGTGCGATTGGACCCATTTGGCGTACGACGGGTACATCACCGTCTCGGACGTGGGCCGTATGGCGATGGGTTCGGCCAACTCGGACTGACCCGACTTCGTAACCCACGCCACCTCTGGCGCGAAGTCGGCGATGTGTGTCTTCTCGGTCTCCAACGCCGCCTTCGATATAAACATCGGAAAGTAACAGTTCTCGACCCCCAGGCCCTTGATCTGGGCGTCGAACCAGCCCTGTATGGTCTCCCATATGGCGTATGCCCAGGGCCTCAGTATGTAACAGCCGGACACGTCGTAGTACTCAATCATCTCGGCTTTGGTTATGACTTCCGTATACCAGTCGGCGGTGTTCTCAGCCTTTTTCGTCTCCATTCCGAGTCGGGTCTGCTTTTTGGCGCCCGATTTACTGTCGCCGCCGGCGCTGCTTGCAGTCGGCGCCTCCTTTTTGGGCTTATTTTCGGCCTTTTTGTTGGACTTATCACTCGATGGCTTCTTTGCGCTATCTTTAGGTGTAGTACCGCTGGCTTTCGGCGCGTTTCCAGCAGCCGGCGCTGCTTTGGATACCCAGTCAGCGCCGGTAGTCTTCTTATACTCGACTTTCAGTTCTAACAGCTTTTTGACGCTCTCATCGACCTGTGCTTTGTCCGCCTTATCAGCCTTTAGTTGGCGGACAGTGTCGGCCTGTTTTTGGACCAAATCGTCGAGTCTTTGAGCGTCACTTCCAGCTGACGGTTGATTACCACTCGTTTGACTCGTTATCTGTATATCTGGTGTCCAATCCTTTCCGTAGACTTTCTTAAACTCGGCCTTCAGTTCCAACAATTTGTTCACACTTTCAGTGATGACATCTTTAGCCGCTTTGTCGCCCTTTAATTTGCGGACCAGATCTCCCTGTGCTCTCACCAAACCATCCAATCTCTGGGCATCACTTCCGGCTCCACCAGCAGTCGGGGCCGGATTTGCAGTCGGCGTCGGATTTGTACCATTTGTTTGACTGATTTTCACATCTGGTGTCCAATCCTTTCCGTAAACTTTCTTAAACTCTGCCTTCAATTCCAACAATTTGTTCACACTTTCGGTGATCACATCTTTGGCCGCTTTGTCGCCCTTCAGTTTGCGGACCAGATCTCCCTGTGCTCTCACCAAACCATCCAACCTCTGAGCGTCATTTGATTGGCCACCGGACGGCGCACTCGATTGTTTCGGTTTCAATTGATCCAACTTTACGTCTGGAGTCCAGTCAACGCCGGTCTGTGT